GCTCTGCTCCAGACAGGTGTTAGCATTTCACAGTCACTGATTCGGGCAGGATGATTTAAAAACCTGTTCAAAGCCTTTTCTCCTTCTGCCTGAGACTCCAGGAGCCAGCAAACCCAAGGACAGTGCTGTAGAGAAAGCTGTGCCAGAGTGAACTGCATTGATTTTGATGGAACTCCATCGACTGTGATGGAGCCACACTGACTGACACCACCCAAGGAATCTGCCTCAAGGGAGAGCTGCATTGGATTTTTCTTTTTTTCCCTTATTACTTGGAGAATTGGGAGGACTTTACAGTCTAGTTAGCCCAGAAATGTGTAAATTTGTTGAAAGACACAGGGAACAACAAGGATGTAATTTGGCTCTGTGGAACTTTCAAGCGGGAAAATGGGAAACTGAGGGGTTTGATTTTTCCTTTTAGGGGAATGTAAATCAGAAATAAGCACTGAAATCAGTGAGCTCCACAAATGTAAAAAACAGAGAAAGCAAAAAGCAAGTCTTTCCCATTAGCATTTTACTTGTATACTCAATGCATCTGATAAAAAAAATCATTTAGAAATAATAAACATGCCATTTTTGCAGTCACATTTCCGAGCAGAACCACACTTTGAGGGCTATAATTGTGACCTACATTTTGAATTATTTGATAAGGCTGACCCCCCATGATGATCTCAAATTAAAATCTTACAAATTACCACTTTCTGACAAATAGGCTTGCTGTTATCATTTCACTCTGACATTTATTCTTTGCTATGGGTCACTGCTTTATTACTGTAAGAGCTTTTGGCCAAGTGCTGTTCCCAAAGCATAGAGAAGACGTTAAAGGTTAATTTCTTGCAAACTGTGAGAAAATGTTATGTCTCATTCATTTAGACTTGCATTACTGAATTTGCATTCTTTTTATAGTACGTGTATTAGTATGTAGCTAAAATCCCTCACAGCAAATCAACCAATAAATTGCACTGAATTGCAGTGCAGTAATGAATTGCTTGTCATTTGGTTTCTAACAACAATAACAAGAAGGTTTTTTATGCTCTTGGCCAGACAATTGACATATTCTCTCGTGGTGTAACTCTGGAGTCTTTGGAGCTCTGCCCTGCAGAGAGCTTGGCCCAAAAGTTGCAAGTGCCATAAAAGTCCATTGTCATGTCTTCATCTGAGTGTGCCTGGGGCTGCAGCCTTGCTATAAAAATGATGATGATGTGAGCTGGTGTTTGGTTCCACTCTTCACTGGGTATTCCAATGGACAGGCAATTCCCCTGGAAATTTGCAGCTGTACCTCAAAGGTAAAAACCATTCCTGGTTGGCCAACACAAGACCAGATGGGCTGATTCCCCCCTGGGAGAGCCCTGTGAAGTGTTTGTCCTGCATGTAAACAAGAATTGTTTGGGATTTGACACAGGGACTGTGTATGGAGGACTTTTTGGGGTTTATCAGACCTGCTTTTCAGGTGGTGACAAGGCCAGAAGGCAGCAGGAGTGATCTGAATGTGCAATTGCCTTCTGAATACAGAATACTCTCTCTGTGAGGGTTTCTTTCCAAGGTGCTCATGTCTCCCTTCCCACTGGGAAATGCTGTGCAGGGAGCTGCTAATTGTCACCACACTCAGCTGGTACCAAGGAGGAGCTGAATGGCTGTGATACCTTCGTGTTGCCTGCACAACACTTCCCTGGGGGATTGCAGTTGTCCTCAGAAAACACGGGGTACAGCACAGAGGTGATAACTGTGGAGGCACCCACACACACCTGGATCCTTCGGTGTTCCTCAGGGCTGGGAGGAGGAGGAGGCAGGGGAACACTGACACAGCTTTTTACCAGACAGAAATGATTCAAAAATGACTCATGGTTCTACACCATGCGAGTGATCACTGGGAGCTCCCTGAAGAAATAGGTTAATAAAGCTGTGACCTGATTAAGTCACAGATCTTGTCTCCTTGCCCGCTGGAGACTGAAACCTCCGAGGCTTTGCCGTGCCACCAGCCCCTGGTGCAGGACAGGGCAGGCAGGTGAGGTGCTCTGCACTCTGAGCCAGTGAATATTCCACTTTTACCTCGGTTGTTGACTTGGATTAGCCATTTTATTGTTTACCAATTGGGCTTGCATGCCGTTTCTGCTCAGCATCAGGAAACATCTGTGGGACGTCTCCCAAGGCTTTTGTCATTACTGCTCCGTCTAGTCTTAATTCTCCCCAATTATTTTGGCAATCATGCAGTCTCCCTCTGCTGCCAAGTTTGGAGGCTTCGGTAAATAGCAAATCAGAAGTGTAAGGAAAACCTATATATCATAAAGGCACTGTTTCCCTTTGCACTGCGTGACTCAGTGGTGCAGTCAGGGCAGGATGAGCTGTGCTGGGATCATCCAAGGTTTGCTTCCTGCCAGCTTCCAGTCACTCAGAATTGTGGGTTCTCAGGGAGGCTCTCCCTGTGCCTCATACCAGGGGGTTGGTGTTGCCCACTCCAAGTTTGATCCTGGCGGTGCTGGGGTTGGTTCCCAGTGAGTTTTGTAGCAGTTCAGTAGCAAAAATCAGATTAATGCCTCGTTCCTGGAGCTGAATGAGGGTCACATGCAGGATAAAACCAGTGAAATGTTCTCTCTCACGTTGTATTGTGCTGTGTTGATACACAACAGGGAGTACACACACAATATGTGAGATTTACATCCTACTCTTTTATGGCTTCACTAGGGTTAAGATAGGAATTGGAGCTTTATGCGTGTCCCTATTTTAACCAGAAAATAAATCTGACCTTTTGAGATTTTATTTTCTTCAGTGTGTAAGTGTATTTTGTCGATGCCTTCTTTCTGACTTGGAGTTTTATTTTGAGTTAAGCTCTCTGATAGTTGTCAGTGAAGGATGTAGAACCATGGTTATGAAATTCAATAAGCCACTGATACGATTATAATAGCCTCAGCAAATAACTGTGACACTCAGCCCTCACAGAGCTCATTTTTTCATTCTTACCTAAAGAAGTGCTAATGAGAACATTTTTGAGTGACTTCTATAACTTTTCTCTGCTTTCTTGTATGAGACTTGGAGGTTTAGTTTGGATTTGTAAGACAGCTTTTTTTTTTTTAATGAGATTTTTTTTTTTTCAACAGGGAACATCAGGGACTGCAAGGAGAAAAATGATAGAAACATTTTGGAGATGAAAATAGATCAGTATTTGGCACTTCATGCTGCTTAATTAGGAAAACATTTAGTTCTTTTAAATTTAATTATTTGGTTGATGTAAAGAACTGTAAGGATTTTGCCATTAAAGATCTCATTGTACATCAATATTCACATTGATTTTTGGCGCAGTTTGAGATCATGCACGTTTTCTTCCAGTGCATTCCTGGTGCAGCTCCACAAGATGTTGTATCTGTGCCAATCTAATTGACAAAGGGGTCAGCTGGTGGCACCTTCTGACACGAGGAGATCCAGCCTCGTGTGGGTCAGGTATTTCCTTAAACTGGCTGAAGGGTTTAGCAGCTGAGACAGGAAATACATTTGGTGATGGATCATCCAGTCCTAGTGCCATGCTACAAACTGTGTTAAAGAATAATCAAAGAAAGTGCCTTGAGCTTAGAATTTTATCACTTTGATGACAAAATTATCAGTGCATGCTGAGTTGCCCGTGTCAGCTGTGTCAACTCTAAATTTGGAACTCGCTCTGTTTAAGTGGCAATAGCAAATAATTCTTTTTTTAACCTTAGTGGTAATTAAATCTTTATCTGATTTAATTCTGATTGTTTTAAAGCTTTATCATCTAAGTATTAATGCAAATTAACCAATTCAAGTCTTTTGTTGCTAAGGGGAAACACTGTTCTCTTACATCTGGAAGAAGATGGGTTTCCTTATCTTCCTGGAGTCCTCAGCCCAAACTTGCCATGAGAGAAAAACTGGATTTAATTTTAAAAACAAATAATGAATGGAAAACCCCATTCAGCCCCTTTGATAAGTAAAAATAACTGATAAAGGATACCAATTGAAAACTGCTTTGTCATGACGTGTATGATGGGAAGAAATGATTTTTTTTTTTAGAAATGAAATGTGATCAAGACCTTAAGCTAGGAGGAAGAGGATTTCCCTGTGCTGTACAAGCCAGGCTGGTGACAATTGCCACTTGAGTGATTTAAGGAGAACAAGGAGTGTCTCCCCTCACTCTGTTCTGCTGCCTTGCTCTCCAGCTGCTCTCACCCCCTCCCTGGGGATGTCCATTACCTGTTTCATTGATAGCAGGCTGTATGAATTTGTCCTCTAGGTAAACACATTTCTATTTTAAAGGGTGCAGAAACTGTGCCAAGTTACAACTAAATAATCAAAATGTGTTCCCAGCTCTTAGTGTAGTTTTTGGCTCATTGATTTGGCCTGTGGTTGGCTACAGTAGATTTAAAACCAGACAAGTGAGGCAGTGGAAAATAAGGGAATATCCTACAGTGCCATGGGCTGGCCAGATGATGCAACAGGTTTTTTTTTTTCTGCTGTAAATCCCGACATTGCACAAGTTTAAATTAAATGGAGATTTCAATTTACATGTTAAATAGTGAGGATATAATGTGTAATTTCAAAATAAAAAGGCACAGATACATTATTAAACATAAGTATTCAGTGTTAAGGCTCCTGAGATGTTTGTCTAGGTTATTATTCTTCTAAGTTTAAGTACACAGTAGTACTTTTGGAATATCACTTGTACAGACATGCTATTTCTCTCTGGCTAATGATGATTTACCACCTTTTATTTTATCTTTTGGATGTCCAGGATAGTAGCATTGGCACACTGAAACTAAATCACATTTCTTATAACCTGTTTCATTCTCTTTAACAACATTTGACAAGACAAAGAACAGTACATTTCCAAACTACAAGATACCCATATGTCCTTAGGAGGATATTACGAAACTAATGAGGCACATTTCAATAACTTCAGTCACGTACTCAAAGGAGACAGAAGCAATATATTGACTAGTGAAGTACTTCTATAAGGAAAAAAATGGTACTTACTGTGTTGCAAGGACTTTATGACCATTTTATGGAGATTTCTGGACCCTGAGATTTAATAATCTTTTTGATTTGTCACTCCAGTGGAATGACTGTGCTCATGAATTTACTCTAAATAAAATTTTCTAATCATCCTTAGGAAAATTAGAAATATATGGCAGATTAAGGAACCAGCCATTCATCTGCTGGGTTAAACGTACTAACATGAACTTAACAAGCGATGTCGTCTCTTAACACATGCAAAGGACCAAATTATCTGCTGAAAGACTGACATTATGTAAATGTAACATTTGCTGGACCTCTAAACCCTGTGATTAAATTACTGTCTAAATTATTCTGCAATATGAATGTCACCTACAAAAAGAAAAGCTGTAAAAGAAACGACTGTGACATCTTCTGGGTTTGCAGTATTTCCATAATGAGCGTTTGTGATGAAGGCTTTGTACGTATAGCTCAAAATCTTAATGAAATAAGGAGAAAGAAAGGGGAGGATGTGACGTGAGGAAAAGTTCCTCTGCAGAGAGGTAAATTTATCCTGGGGTTTCCACATGAATTTGTTAGCAGAAGAAGCATGGCTCAATTAAGAGGGGAATTTAATCCACAAATCAAAACTTGTCACTGGAGAGACGCTTCCCCCACCTTCCTCTGTGGAGGTGTTGGGTGTTCAGTGGCAGGTAATCTGTTTTCACTTAGTGCTGTGAGAGTGGCACATCTGTAAAACAGCAAAAAATAAAATAGGGAAGAGTGTGCTGAGACTCCTGCGTTGCAAGTAATTATGTCCCTGAAAGGCTGAGTGCAAATTGTTCCTTGCAAAAAGGCAGAATAACCCATCAGTTAACTTGCACTGTATCATTAACTCACCTAAATTGTCTTAACTCCTGTTTCACTCATTCAAAAAATTAAGATCTAGCAGAGCAAATGTGCTCCAGCAAAAGGAGGAACTGTGTGTGCTGTTAATTGGCTGCTTAGGAAGCTGTGACAGCAACAGAGAGGGGCTGCACTTCTCCCCCTGGCACACCTGTGAGGTGAAATTACTGACAGCCCTTTTTGGGTTACCTGGCAAATCACCCACAGCGAGGAGAGCCAGCACTCCCCTGAAACCCATAAAGGGCAGGGGTTTGCTCCTTTAGCATCTCCACAAATCCCCAGGTGGAGTCCAGCACAGATGGAAAGCTGCCAAAAGGAGATGCTCAGAGGAAACCCTTGATCTCCACCTTCACTGGCAGGTAAGGGTTCCTGTAAAGCTCAGCTTTATTTCCTTGCTGTGGCTTTTGCTCCTTTTCCTTTCTCCTGTCTGTGCCCCTTTCTCAGGGGAAGGATTTGGGGAGGCTGTGGGAGGGAAGAGCAGCTCTGAGACCATGGAGAGGGAACACTCCTGCTCCCCTCTAGTTGATAAATATCTAATAGATAAAAGGAGACAAATACATGTTTAGCTAAGGTGGGCTGGTACATGGCTGGCTTTAGACTGGTTGGTTGGGGTTTGCACTAAGGAAGATTGACAGGGCAGTGGGGGAGAAAAGACAGAATATTAACAAACCAGCATCAAGATGGTTTTGTGTATTTTCAGGTTTTGCCAACCAACTGAAACATCCAAAACAGACTAACTCCACAAAAGTGTCGTGTAGTTTGCAAGACACCTTGTTTTGTTTGTGCTGTAGCTTTCCTTCCCTCCCTCTCCTCCTTAAAATAGGCACTGCAAATTTTGTTTTAGCCCATAAGGCTATTCCCTTCCTACAGAGATATTTGAATATTTATTCACAGGTCTTTATCAAAGACAGTCAGTATGAGCAGTGCTGATTGATGTCAGTGACTCAGCAGGTTGAGCTGAGGGGTCCTTTTTCACATGGACTTCACATTTCTGATCAGTTTTGCCTCAGGGTTTGTTGTTATCCCACGGGAAGCTGCTCCAGATCTCCATCATCCTTAGTGATACTTCATAATTGAGAAGGCAAGTTCCAACACGTGGATACCTCTCCTTGTTTTCTTCAGCAGCTTGGTGGGACTTCTTGATTCTTTTTATGAATATTTGTGGCTTTTATGAACAGAAAATGTGGTGTGATCATTTTACCTGCAGTGTGTACTTGTTAACTTTTCTCAGACAGCAGCAAAGTTTTCTCTCATTGCTGTTTTCCTGGCAGCCTGGTCCACTTCTTGTTTCATGTGCCAAATCCTGTAACAGGAGGAGAAGCAGTTCTGTGTTTCAGACAGGACCATTTCATTCAGATCCTGAGGAAATCTTTCTGGATTTGTTCATGTTTCCACCAGGCAATGGTGGTGCTATTTCCAGATGGAAAAGATCTCATTCCCACAGAAAACTCACCTCTTCTCCCCATTGCCTCCATGTGATTTTGTACAGTGAAATCAAGATGGAAAAGGGTTTAATACATGTGATTTTGTAGTGATGGTACCTGTTGCAGTGTAAACTGCCTCTCAAAGGGGTGTGATGGTTTATTTCTTTTTGCTAGAGAAAGATTTTTTTTTTTTTTTTTGTGAAAGGAACCTGCAGTTGTCCTTCTGCATTCCCTTCATCCAAACCTTCCTGGTGTGGGGGAAGAAAAGCAGAAAAAAAATAATAAATATGTTAATAATCATAGAAGAAACCTTCTAAACTGACCCACCTCCCCAAACTGTTTACAGATTCAACCAAAATGACATTTTAATGTTGAAACTTCCTTTTTATTTATGTCTCTTCCTCGGTGGCCCTTACTGATGTAGCCTGGTCCCTACTCAGCTGGGAGAGGGCTCTGCCCTTCCACTTTTGGAAGTAGAAATATTTTTTGTGCAACTGTACCAAAGTTACCTGCAGGATTTGCTTCACCTTTTGTTCAAAAAGGAAATAATTTGGGTTTTACTTTCTCTGTTCCCTGTTCCTGTTTGGTCAGTGCCCCATAAATACATCTGAAAAAAAAAGCCCCTGATCTGAGCAGTTCAGTTTGTAGTTGAAAATATGAGGAAAATAGGAAAGCACATAAATAAGTGGTATGTGTACTCCCTGCTTTTTTTAGTTTATTCATATCCTGAAGAAAATGAGTTGCAAAGGTAAATAGCTGAGTTTAAATGCTTTGAGGATGAGGGCTGGTCCTATATTTGATTATCTCTGAAATAGATATTGCTTTTAGTTATCCCATAATCCCTGGCACCTGAGAATTTTGGTCACATCTGGCACAAACAGAAGTAGCAATTCAATTTCTTGCCATCTACCTTAAATTACCCCAGGTTTGCACTTGTGTAACCGTAAACTGAACTTTTCCATTAATTTTTCAGCATTAAAAAGAAAAAGTAGGCTAAACTTCAACTGTTGCAGATGAAGTATTTAGAATAATTTCCCAAAGCCCTTCATAAATGTGACATTGATTCATTGATATACAGACCATTAGCAGTTAGTCTCCTCTGTTCATCTATCATTTCAATTATCTCTAGACTTCCCCAGGGTTTTTGACAAATGGGAGACAATTTGCATTTTGTACATTAATGACCTTGGTGGAATTCGTAATTTTATTCCCCCCATCTTATAATTATACTTCAGCATTGTAGGGGAAAACCCCACAAAACTACAGTGGTCCAGTTTTTAATTTAATTGGAAGCAAGAGTGGGGCTGTTGAGGTGAGGGGGGAAAGGAAGAAATAAGGAAAAAAAAAAAAGTTTAAAAGTATTTTGCACCTTTTGAAGAACTTTCACCTGAAGATGAAGCAGACTGTTGTAAGTTAAGCTTGGGCTCTGTTTTACAGGGGAATGTTGCCTCCCTGGGCCGCAGGGGAGCTGTTGAGAACCCAGCCTAAACCTTGGCCTAAGGAGGTTTGTTGGTTTTATTCCAAACCGACTGATTTCTTCTTGGAAAAGCTATCTCTTGGTTCCTTTGATAATGCACAGAAGGAATTTCATCAAGTGATCCCTAAAAAGAGAAAGAAGGAAAAGGAGCATTTCAGAGGTCTGTGGCATGGCTGGATGCTCAATAATCTTAATTTCTATTAGTAATTATGGTAACAATACTTAGTAATTGTCTATTCCTAGCAAATTATCCTTCTTAGCTTTGTGTTCTGTAGAACTTTGCCTGTTAAGTTAAATTATTAAATTATCAATTTCTTCCTCTCCCATCTCTTTATCCTCTGGTCTTTTGCCCCAGAGATGTAATAACCAGGTCGTAACATTACCTGGTTGGTTCACACCTTTCCTGTATTTTAAAAAATAAATATGGAGAAATACTCACACAATGTCCACACTTTTCACTGTTTGTTAATGGTCACAATGCAGGTATCCTGGAGAAGAGATACAAGTGTTTAGTAAAATTAGGAGGTATAACTATCTAGTAAAATTGATGGTTTTACACTCCTGGGTAGGGCAAAGAGGCAGTGCAGTGTGGGCAGAAAAAGTGAAATTAATAACTAAAGTATCCTGTACTTGAGGAATAGTTTATTGTCTTACTGCATTCATTCCTTCAGCAAAAAACCTTCAGGCCAGCTCTCAGGGTTTTGGGGTGTTTTGTTGTTTTTTGAGAAACCCGGGGACTTCACTGCCTTCTCCAGGAATATCCGCCAGGTGTTTAAAACAACCCGTTGCCAGCAGTAACAGCAGCGTGGGATCTGAGATGCCAGAGGCTTTGCCTTTCCCTTTGAACACGAAATCTCTGCAGTCTCTCAGACAACATTAGGTGGTAACTGTTGGCAACAGCGGCGATGTTGGGGGCGACGTCTGTTTCTGGCTGCATTTCCAGAACCATCCGTAACGTTGTGGTGGATGTACTTTGCTCATAGATCACACTTCCCCTTTGGGCGTCACAGCGAATTTGGCTGCCTCTTCCATGCAAAAAAGTAATTAGCCTGGGTTGGATGTGAGGAATTTATTTTTTGATTGGAACTGAAGGGTGAAATTCCAAACGTGGAAACCTGAGCTGCGAACTGGCATCGACCCGCGGCGCTGCCGCGGTCCTGCCTCTTGCTCGGGTTTGGGGGTGTTTTATTCACATAGCTGGAAAGATTTTGGTTTTAATCAGCGCTCAGGCCAGGCTGGGATGTGCTCAGGCCAGGCTGTTCAGCCTTGGATTCCTCTGACATGCATTGTACAACTGTTTTTCTGCCAGCTGAAGAGCCGGCAGCGCTGGGTTTGAAGAGCTTTGGTTAAATGAGATGCTCTGAGTGGTCTGTAAGAGTGAGCTAAAGATCAAGGTAAACATATTCATTGATTTACTTCCTCACTTTTCTGAAAACAGGACTCAGGCTCCAAACAATACACGTGTCTGTGGAATATACTTGTCTTTGCCTACGTGACGTGTGCTGCACACAAGCGTGTGCTGGATATATATTTATTTTTACACAGCCTTCTGGCCCTGTTTGAATTTTTCTCTGCCTAGCAGTGTTTGCCCTTTGCTATCTGTTTTTAATTTTTTGAACATTTTCAATAGATCTTTAAAACTTTGAGTTTATTCCTAGTGCACATTCTGTTTAAGAGATTTAAATTTAATACTTTGACTTTACTGTTGCTCAAAAAACCAGTTTGTTATCCTAAATCAAACAATCTTAAGGAGTGTGATATAATATTTTACTGTGGTACACACTTTGTTAATAGTGAGGAATGTGAAAATATGTCAGCTGTTTGCAGGGAGAGAGGTAGAGGAACACATGTTTTAAAGTGTAAAATGATCATGTACAAATCATGTAGTAACCTTGAAGTTTTAAATTATTTAAGCTGATGTCTCGCTGCAAACATAAATGCAAATTTCTCTTTGGTTATACCCCCTGAAAAAACAGGGTATGGCTCTCCATCACAACCAGATGCCTGACATCCAGAGAGATTTAAAAGGCAAATTTAGTTTGTGTTGGGAACCAGAATGTTAAGTTTGGGTTGCATGAAACTGACTCTTCCTGTGCTGGTACAAATTAATTTCAGCCACACAGAATTAGCCATTTCAGCCCTCTAATTTCTGCCTGTGATCACCTTTGACATCGGTCCATTGGCAAAACCTTGGGATCCCATATTTTTATAAGGAGAATTCCTGAGGCTGAGCCCTGTGCTGCACGTGTGTGAGCACGTGTGTGAGCAGGGCAGGTCCCAGGTTCAAATGCTGCTGTCAGGCTGCCAAATTGTTCCTTCTGCAGAGTGTCTGCCTTACCCCACCATGCTGGGCTTGATTTATTTGTTTCAGAGGAGGGTTCTGTGCTCTTCTGCTGGGAAAGGCCCTGAGAAATCACAGCTCTGCTCCTCATTGTTAGTTAAAGTGGAAAGAGAAAATCCTGTTTCTTCAATTCTGTGCTGCCAGCTTGTTGCTGGTGAAATCTGCATGGAAGTTAATGGTTTGTACATCTCTTTTGGTTTGAACCTCTTTTTTCAAGCTTGATGTAACATCAAGTTTAAGTGCCCTGGTTGAATTCCTCAGTGTAAATTCTTTCAGCTAAAGGATGCTCACCTGGCTGCTGTGCCTGATGAGCAGGATTCAGACCTCTCTGCAATATTTAGCTGCTGTTCAGCAGTAAATTCCACCTCTGACTCTTCAAGGGGCTCCCTTTCAGCAGGGACAGCAAGCAGCAATCACAGTAAGCAACAGTTAATGAGCACCCATTGGTGTCAGATAACTTGGAAGAATTCATGAGACAAATCAGGCAGTGGAGTCTCTGGGAATAACGACTTCCCTTGGGTTTCTTTACCAATTAAATTGATAAAGATTTAATCTTTCTTTTTTTTTTTCTTCCCATGGGTTGCTTTGCCCTTGACACACAAGTACAGTTTCTGGAAGGCACAGTGGCTGTGCCTTACACTTCTGTAAACTGAATAACCAGTTCCCACTTGTGTCTCTTGTAAACCAGTGACCTGGTTGTGTTTCTGCCACTCAGGGAATGTGACAGAAATTATTTTCTGTAGTAGGAAGTGGAGTGAGTTTACATTTAAAGTTAGCACAGGATTTTTGTCAGGGCAGTGAGTAATTCTGCCCACAGAACTGCTAGAAAGATCTCCTAGAAATGGAAAACAAAAGATGGGAGAGAATATTCAGGAGGATATATATGGGAAGGAAGAGAAATTTAACTCATTTCAGACCATAGCAGAGGCTGTTTGATCTAATCCCAAACCAGATCTGATGATGAGCAAAGTTTCAGATTAGATTGGCAAGGACAATTATTATGAATAATGATTAATTAAAAATAAGAAAAGAAAATAGGATCTTCCATTTAAATCTCTATAATGAATTCCTATTCCAAACTGGTAGCCAGCACACACCATCCTTTTTCTGCTGAGAAATTTTTTATATTCATTTCTGTTCGTAATGGTTCGGGAAAAGAGAAAAAAAGAAAAAAAGGTTTTCATTATTCATGTGAAAAATGAACTCTTTTGCTCACATGCTTAGTGCTGGGGTTAATTATATTATGAAAAAGCACAGTTTGTAAGGAACTGGCTTATTACAATAGGAATGCCCTGAAATTTAAGCTGCCTAATTTGACAGCTTGTTCAGTCCATGCTAGTGTAGCACTCAGCCTGTCTGCAGGTGAAGCAGCAGCCTCTGGCCTTGGGGCTTTGTTCCTGCACAGGGGACTGTGTGCAGGACAGGGGTGTGACAAATTCTGTTCTGGGGGTTCCCCCCGGTTTGCCACCGTCACTCATCACCTGCAGCCTGGCCACTGCTGCATCAGGGACTGCTTTGGACCAGGGCACAGCTGCCCTGGGGTGGATTGAAGTACCAAAATTGGTTGTGGAATGCTTCAGGTGTCCCTTTCCCACAGTGTTGCTGTGGACACAAGGACACTCCTGGATCTGAGACTTTTATTCCACAGGTGCAGACAAAAGGAGACATTTGCTTGCTCAGACTGATGAGTTCTTCTTAGGACAGAGTAAAGGCAGGGACAAAACTGGAGTAAACACTTTATTCTACACTTCCAACAGGACTTTGGTTTTTTTTCTGCAGCTAGAAGCTAAAGCTGTGATTTTTGTCCTTTCCCTTAATGTTTGGAAGCTGATTTCCAGATAAGCTGTTCTTGCAGCGCTCGGTTCCCATTCCTGCATCCTGCTGGCTCGAGCTCATCCTCTCTCACTCCTGCTGTCACAAACTCAGATTGCTGCTCTACACAGATTTGAGTAATATTACAGCAGAGCTTCCCAGCACCCCCCCGTTGCACGTGGTATGCCACCACTAACTTGGTAAAATCTGACCCATCCTTTCAGGTTTTACCTGGAACAAGCATTTATTTCTGCTTGAAATTGTTCCTTCACCTTCCATCCTGGGGAGCCTCAAAGGCATCACCAACGTGCACTTCTGTCTTTATCTCTGGTTTTGTTATTGCTGTGTTGGATCACTGCCGTGCTCTTCATAGCAGCTGACATCATAAATCCCTTAAAAGTACAGGTTGAGCAGAGTACACAAAGTGCTGCCTTTGCTTCCTTGCTGTTCCTTTTTGATGCCACTGCTGTGGTCTCTGAGCTTGTGTTTGGTCCTGAAGATGCTGGCACTGGCCAACCCATGGGTATCTTCAGGTTATTCACACTTTTATATGACACTGGCTGTCACTCTCCCGCTCTCTTGGCCTGAAAACCTCCATACATTTGCATAGTCTACATTTTTTTTAATTTTTTTTCTTTTGTTCTGACAGAGATCTGTAAAAATTACTGTAAATGCTAAGCTTTCAGAAATGATCCAGCACACTGGGGGTTTTTTTTTTGCTATATCCTTTTCAATTCAATTCTGCTGACCTGATTTATAGATGTTAACAGGAAGCTGGAGAAAGGGCAGAAGTTCATGTAAATTTTCTTGAGATCCAGAAGCAAGTGAGCAGAGCTGGGGATAACAGAAAATATTAGCAAAGAGCCAGCCTTAGTTCATGACCAAGTGGTTTGCTGACTTCCTCCCCCAGGAAAGCAGAAGGCAGCAGGGTGCAAGGATGTCTGGAGTTCGAGGTGCATTTTGTGAACTCTCCTTTGAGCACCAGGACTTGGCTTGGCTGGAGTCAACCGTGGCACTTGTGCTTGGGGTTTAGCACTCCAAACATCAATCCAGCTGCTAAGAGTCCTGAAGCCTCACTGCCTCAAAAATGATGTTTGAAGAGTGTTTATCTGCCTGCAAAAATACTAAGGGCTTACATTGTGAAATCAGACTTGGAAAGTTCAAAGCCTTCCCGTGTTTGTAGGTGCATAACCAGCACTTGTTGGTGCTGGAAGTCAGGTACACTGCAAAGAGACTGCATTTTTAGGGCAAAACCACTTCTAGACTTGGGCTTTTAAGGATGTCACTGCAGAGCCTTGAATCCTTTCTAAAAGGGTTCCATTTTGTGGCATAAAAAGTCGAAGCAGAAAGAAACTCATCTCAGCAGAGCTCTGATGTGGGGAAGGTGCCGTACAGCCAGCCAGGCTTTCTTTTATGTTTTGCTCATAACCATCATAGCAGGGAAAGGCAAACACTTGTCTAATTTGATAAAATATCTTTAATTGCAGCAGCAGTACTTGAGGTTTGGGCTGGCTGCGTCAGCTCTGTTTGTAATCACAGCTCCAGCCGCACTCCACAATCAGCGCCAATTGCTGCCAATTAGCATCCACTAGGCTGGCGTTGCTTTATTCAGATGTTCTGGGGTGTTTGGTTGCATTATTCATACCTTGTCTGGGAAAACATAGTTTAAAAATGAGCACCATTACAGGATTTCATTGTACTGGGATAGACCTTCTCCCAGC